ACACGTACGTCCGTGGATGCGTTATTAACGCGTATGTGTCGAACCAATCGATGCGAGTGGTCGAACAACGCTTCAGCGAAAAAACAGCCGATTGGAAGCCGGAAACCGGCACGGTGAAAAACACCGGCCGAACACCGGGAGAGGGAAAAAGGACTTTTCATCGAGGGCTTTCACAAAACGTGCAATTTCATCCTTGATCAACTGGTATCGGGCTTCTGCGATTTTATTTCAATTCACCAGGGGATCTCAAACGATACGGTGGTGTGATTAAATATGTACATCAAATTTTTATTTCATCACGAGCAGGTATATATACAAATAGACTTCGGGGGCGGGTAACTGTCTACGTTCTTTCTTCACCCTCTAAATTGATTTCTTCTTCGCTCCGCGTGGAAGCCGACTGGCAGAGACGAACCAAAGCATCGTGAATCTTCGGTTCGCATCGATTTCTGAAGTCAGCGGAACTGGATCGGAACACCAAATCAAGTTTAACAGTTCCCTACTTAATACAAATTAAACTCGACGATCCTTCTACTTAAACGGAATCCGAACTCTGAGCGCTCTTTGACTTTCCTTCGAAGGAATCTTTACCAATTTCATCGAATATTTAGAATTTCTATATTTCTCTTATAACACTGTCACGAAGAATTCTTTTGTTAAGTACAAAACAATATACCATCCTATTCACCCGAAACTGTAAACAATCTTTCACTCGATCCAGAAAAATACGTTCCACCGAATATTCAATATTGTTCATTTCCTTGAGTCGTTTAGAATTCGACGATCATCTCGCGATCCGATCCAACCCCCGACTCCGTCCCGCGTCTGGCCAGTCACCTTCCGTGGCAACGCGTAGTCGTTTATTACGTAATTATGCACAATTGTTCGCCTTAACGTATTAATACTGCAGAATATTGTTTATGTCAAAATGCGTCTGCCTCCGTGTCCGCGCGTGTCAATGCTATATGCTACAAGAGATAGTTATCTAGTCCCGCGTCGTGGGAACGCGCCGGTACGCGAGCCGGACGGGCCGATCGCGTCCGACCGTGAAAAATCCTGGAAGAGTTCCGCCGGAAACGGGAACACTCGGCGCTCCTATCCTCGGACAAACAGGAAGGCAGATCGATCTCCGCGCGGCTGCTTATTATTCGCCGACCGTGCACCCCTTCGCTCCCCCCGTGTCATTGGTACGAGCGGCAAGTTGCCGCTTAACGGCCAATAGCGCAGCTCCGATTGGCGTGTCCATCGGTCTTGCATCCCGTCCGAGGTACATGATTATCAAACAATTATACTAATCGTATTTCGGATACGGGACCGGCATTGCAGGGGAGAACGATCGTTCGGCCACTGACCCTTTTGTACCAATTAATCTCATCGCGAAACGCGCCCGTCGCGCGCTCGCGTCCATCGATCCGATCGATTGGATCGGGCTAGTCCTCGTCTAGGTGTCTTATTAGTCCAATTGCTCACGGGCTCGGCTGACTCGTGCTTGGAACACGAATAGTTTCGTTTACATATGTCGATGTCAGTTCAGGATATAGATTAGGTGATTGTAATTGAAATTTTGTGAAGCACTTTTCGCGACGATGAGGGCGGGTATTGATTTTGCAGAGAAGATATCGGATTCTTTCATGAGTGACGTTATTTCGCGATAGCTTTCGACCCAATTGTAATCTTTAGTGTTACAAAGAAGAATTGTGGAAAAGATAGCTCTCTTGATCACATTCCTGAAGCATTGAATAAAATTGATTCTTTAATGCCATGTTCTGAACACCGTCCGCAGCACCTGAGAGTAAATCGAAATGTCTCGTCCCTTCCGGAACCGTTCGAATCGAGCAAGACTCGGTTACGTTTCCGGTGGTTCGGTGCGTGCGCCCGCACGCGATTGTCTCCGATATCGTATTGGTTCACGCGTTAACCAGGGGTGATCCACGCACTAAAAACTCAGGCATTCAGAAATATATTTTCAAAATTCTTCACCCCAAGATTCCTCGATCAATCGTTAACCAATTGTACAATCCCCTACTCAAAACTACACCACCGGTTAACGCGTTCGATCAGGTTCCTCGTATCCGTCACGCACGCAAAATAAAATCCCTGTCCGCGCGAGTGTCGCGGTCTTTTCGTCTTTAAAACTATATGCAATATATTACTTACTGAGCTGTATGGTTCAGGAAGTTAGGGTATCCCGTCGCAGCTCGGACGACATCAAACCGAACGGGAACATCTTTGGGTCTTAAAACTATTCTGTCTGTCGCTCTATCATTCTCTCTTCCATTCATTCTCTCACTCTCTCTCTCTCTCTCTCTCTCTCTCTCTCTCTCTCTCTCTCTCTCCCCCTCTGTCTCTGTCCTTCCCATAATGATAGAAAAAAGTCTCCGCATCTCCGACCTCTTTATTGCACTATTATCGTGAATTGCTACGTGCCGCCTGTCCGGAGAGCGGACGGACGATCGAACCCGGTGCACGATAGGGATCGAAGCTTCATATCGCGTCCCCGCAGCCGTGAACTCGAACGAATCGCCCGGGAACGACGTAACGAATTTGATTTACCGATCGAGGGTGGTTAATAACCGGGGTCAGGACAGACCTGTTTCGATTACCGTTGGAAACGATCGTTCGCGATAATCGGCCCTTCCTTCCTTCCTTCCTCCTGCCGAGGTCCTTGTACTTTTTCTTTGTTCTTTTGCGTCCCATCGGGCTCTCCCGATATCCGATAAACGATGTCACGACTGGAATAGAAACGACGTGTCCGAGTCGTTCCGGCATCGGAGAAACGGGTGACGGGGGTGCGCGGCAGCGGTTACGGGCGGCACGAGGGGGGAACGCGTTCGCCGATCTGGTCCGGAACGTTTTCTTGTTCGGGGTTGAGGGATGATCGAAGGTGGAAACGTTTGTCGGTTTCGCTTCTCGTCACGCCCGCGGCGTCGGAACGGTGGCTACCGCGCGGCCGGACGCTGGTTGCTGCCTTCGTCGGTCGTACGTTAAACTTCAGACCATTTGCAACCCTTTGGTGATGCTCTCGACGTGTTCCTTGGCCCGCATTCTCAGCGCCTGGATGCTGGTCGTGCGTGGATCGTGGCCGGGTGGGCTCGGCGGCGCCGTCGCGACGTGCCCGCCGTTACCTATGCTGGTCATCCCCGCTGTCAGGGTTCCTGTTGACGGAACGGATGATTGCCATTGAGATGTCTGATGAATGGGACAACTATGCGAAACGATTCATTGTTGTTAGCAATGTGTGCTCTGTATTATTCGCAGTTTTTATTGTATATGATTTATTCTAGTTTCAAGTTAGCAAGCATTTTGAGAGGATTGACGATGTTCCGATACTTTCTAGATGTCTCTGTTATATTGCACAGGCGATTAATAGAGTCTGGTGTTAAATATACGTCTAATTATAGTCTCATTAAAAAAGAATGTGAACCTCTGATGAATGTAATGGACTCAAACACATTTCACCTTTTTTTTCGAAAGAAATTCAAAGTTCAGCGTTGCCATCGATATATCATCTTTATTGGAAGGGAACTCGATTACGTAAAGACTCCGCTACTCATTAGGCCATTAGCGGTTTATCGTGGCTTCGACTTAACTTATATATCATTTTGCTCGCGCGAAAATGTTATTAAGAAGCGGAGCTTACCGGGCACGGCGTTTCCAACGGCGGCGACATTCGGTGGCGACGGCAGTCGTCTCGGGGACGTTAAATAACTGGGATATCCCGAGTGAGGTGCAGCGAGGAAGCCGGGTAGAGCGCTTAACAGGCCCGGAGGAGTGAGCCAAGGGTCCCCTGGTAAGCCGAGAGCCGGTCCGGCCACGTTTCTACCGAAAACCAGATAACTTATGAATCACACGATCATCGATAAAGCTATCAACACAGCAGAATCAACGACGCTCTTGTCTAGCTTTCGCAAAAATTACCTCATATTGGCGGCGTGGTGGTACTCGCTCAGTCCAAGTCTCGCGGCTTCCATTTTCTCCTGTCTGCGCCATTTTGCCCGTCTGTTCTGAAACCACACCTGTAACAAGAATAAACGCGAACACGTTATTACAATAAATATCGCCGCCACGCTGCAACATCTCCTCCAAATTGCATTTTATATTCCTGTAATCTCGCGAAGGAAATCTCGAAATAAATAAGACCGAGCGTCAATGCAATCTGTAAATCGTGGTTTGGGTCTGGGCAAAATTGCCTTCGGTGGTGGGAAAAGGCGTGTAGAAAGTCAACGCAAAAATTTCTACCGAACGGGACAAGAAAGCGCAGGGAAGGGGATCCGCGAAGGATTTCAGAGGGGGTGGCAACTCCTAACCAAGAGTAGCTAGAAAATGGAGTTCCTTTGGCCTGGTGCTGTGCGAGCAGGGCGAGAAAGTCACCGCCAAACCTCCCTCGTCTTCTGTTTCGCTCTACTTTTCGAGTTTCCCTCCTTCCTCGAGCACCCTCTGCCTCTCTTCCTCGGATTGTGTCTCTTTTTCCACCGTCTCCTCCCTCCCTCGATTCTCCTCCAGCTTTCTCTCTCCGTTCCGGCATCCCTCGTCCGTTTTCTTGGGGTTGCCTCTCTCTCTCTCCCTCTCGACAGCGCTCGAGCTAGCCAAGGCTCCGCTCGGCGGAGGGTTGAAGAGAAATGTCTCTCTGGGCGGGGCGGTCCACCCTTGGAGGCAGCGCGGCGCAAGAAAAGGAGCTAAGAAGGGAGGCCGTAGGGTGAGTCCGCGCGGGGGACCACCCTTCGAACATCAAGAGGGTAACGAGGCTGCGGGGCGAAATCGAAAGTGAGCGACGTGACGGCGTCGGCGACGGTGACGGCGGCTAGGTGGATTCGAGAAAAGCCTGGAACGGCAGCCGCTTTTGCGAGGAGGGATGAAAGGGTCGGGTCGGCCATGTTGATTTCTTTATTGTAACATGGCTGCTGTTGGCAGGCCGGCTAAAGTCTATCGCGATAAGTATCGGCTGCTGGCTTCTCGGCTTATGAATTATTCAGCGACGCGAAGACACGACGATAGGCCCTATTGAGTGTGTCCGTGACGAATGTACCGAGTTCGGTGAGAAAAAGGGGGAGGCGTGGGTCGATGTGAGACGGAGGGACTCGCCGATGGCAGCGCGAGCGATCCTGGGATCCTTTTTTGGCCGTGGCGAAGTGGCGGAGTCACGGTCACGCGGACGACGTGCTATCGTCGATCGTTGCGAGTCGAGACTCTTAATTTGAGAGTGCTCGGGCGATGGGTTCAACTTTTGTATTAACTCACACCTAAATGTTCGTAATATTAAAATTATATCATTACGAATTCAGTACTTCCCAAAGGGTTTTACGCAACTGAATTACGTAACGTCAATAGAAATCAGTGCACTATATATTCAAAACGAATTTTACGGGAGCTTAAAACACCATTGATACAGTGGAAATTGCGTCCATTAAATTTATAAAATAATCTTCAAGTAGAATTGTCCACTTCTGTCTGAAATAAATTGATTCTTCTATAAGCTATGTTCATTATAAACCTAATTACTGCACACAAAGCTGAAGGTACACGCTAACGCGAGAGAATTAACTATTTAACCGGCACTAAAATTCCGATCGTTTACAGATCCGCCCGCGTTCCCCGATACAGGATACAACAAATAAACCAATCCAATTCCTGCGGAACCTGCAGATGCCGAAATCGGATTTCCCAGGAAGACTTCCGTCGCGGGGGATATCCTCCTCGTCTCCGACGGCCCGTGACGACGCGCGCGGTCTCCATCGAACGAACTATCTACAACGTCCCATTCCCGTCGCGTACCGACGCCGGCGTCGCCGTTTCTCCATACCGTTTCTCTGCCTCGTTTTATTATGTAATCTACTCCATAATTTCCCGTTTAACTCCTGAATTCCCTCGACTCATCGTCGTCCCTCTATCCTACTACCGCCGACGCTCCGTCCCTCCTCCCCGAAAGGATTGCTCGCGAGGAGGAGGACAAGCGTCGCGCGTTGGAATAATAAATAACGGACAAATTGAATGTCCCGTCGCCGGTGAACGAGAAACGAAAGAGAAACGGCCAAAAACCATGGGAGGAACGAGGCACTCGGGCGGAATGACACCGGTGTAGACGGTGCGGCGGACAGGAGGCGCGGAGGGCAGCGAGGGGACGGATATCGAGGCATTCCCAGGCTCATCAGGACGATATTCCGCTCTCGAGGACGAGAAGCAATTTTCTTTCCTGGCTGCGTGGATGAGTAAAGGCCGTGGACAAGATGCCACGTAGAAATGATGGGAAAATAAGCGAATTTCCCTTCGTATCTCTTATATATCCTCTTCTTCTCATCTTTCCGCCCCTTCTCGTCCCTCTCACCTTCTCTAGCTCTCTCCGTCCGTCTTTCCCCATTCATCGTCTTCTTCTTCTTCGTGACAGCGACGCCTGTCGCGGATACAGCCCCGTTCCTCCGCTCCTCCCTTCCAACAATCCAGAAGAGAAAAGTCGCTGCTGGCCGAAGCGTCCACCCTCACCCCCGCTCTTTCTCTCTCTCTCTCTCGCGGAAATATGAAAAACAGGGCTAACACGGCTTAACCATTTTACGTCGTAAATTTATTAGAGTAGGTACTTCCAACCTTCTCCATCTCCGACCCGTCTCCGCCCCAACCCCCGGTTGTTTCTTCCGCGTTTCGGCCCTCGTCCTTCTCGAGTTTTCTTCCACCTCGGCCAATCCCACCCTCCTCTCGGCGACGCGTTTACTTCGCGCGAGACGTTCCCCGGCAATGATATTGCGAAGGTAAACTCGCTTAGACGGTTTAAATGTAAGAAAATTGGAATAAAATGGAAGTAATTCCGGGATTAAAATTGGACGTTGCGTTCGCCTGCGTGAACCGGGCGGCGCGACGCGACGTTTCGCGCATGATCACCGGCGTCCATGATCGCGGGGCGAGAACCGCTGTCGCCGTTCAGAAGCTTATCGAGGATAGCAACGTGAATCGCATTGTATAATTAATACCGAATCACGGCTGATGATCGCAGACGTGTTTCCTTTCCGGCTTTTCGTCTTACGCAGTCGACTGTTGATATCTACATCGGTTAATCCAGTAAAACTCTATTGCGACGGATCGATTCATAATATCCTGCAGACATCTGCCAATTTGACGTCTATTTGCTAGGTATTAATAAAGATGGTGTCCGACTTCGATGCGACACCTTTTTGTCCGCTTTTCAAGCTAACGTTTAACGATCTCTCCAATGGGAACAGTAAGAAAGGAAACGGAAGATTGTTAATATTCTTGAATTAAATCTACTCCCTCTAGAAATAATTCACTTTGTGTTCCGACAAAACTTCGCGAAACATATTGAACTCAATACATCTACCCCAAACTTTCTTGAACCCCAGCTAAGGTAAAAGCACGCCGCGAAAACGTGAAAAATTCCATACGAAGAAGAACGATCGCATTTTGATTCCCAGCGACGCAGGCCGGAAACGATGGCATTGCCACGGAATTTTCGATGCGCGGCGTGTCGCGACACGCGGCGGAACACATGCTCGGCGCACGGCGACGCGCCGAAAACGCGTTCACGCCAAGCCCCGTTACTTTCGACAGAAAACCACTTTGCCGCGTTGGCGCGCGGCCAGTCGGACCTGGAAAATCTCGGTCGGCGTGCGGAACGACGGACCGGGAAACAGAGTGGTCGTTTACAGGGAAATATCGACGTTAACGTCGTGCCCGGCGGCTGCGTAACAGCTTTCCCGGATCGGTCCTCCCGTGCACGGTGACACACGGTGACGAAGCTTTCCCCGTTTCCCTCTGTTCATCGGCGCGGCCGCGTATCGCGGGCGAAAATCAGTTTTCCACGTACCGACAAGCTCGTCGCTGCCATTTCTTTCATCGGGCTCCCGTCGGCGTCTTCGTCCCCGCCGCCGTCGCATCGTTCCGGGACGATGATCGCTTTATCCTCGCTCCGGCGACGGCTCTCGAATTCGGATTAGCGCCGGTAAAAAGGTATCTGGCCGGCTCACGCCACGTCGAACGCATTGTCGTTCCGCGGCGGCATTAACAGATTTTCGTCCATTGTTCGCCAATGCCGGTGGCCCTCGCCCTCTTTGAAAGAGTTGCGGACCGGCCGAGGTGTCACCACGCGTCTCACGCTCCCGTGATTCTTGTTTCTCTTCCTTCTCGCTTTCTCTGTTAACCGCGTGATCCACTTGCCGGCCGTTCGAACGACGCCTATTTTAAGCGATAATCGCCGACGCGTAGTCTGGGTTTCTCGGTGTTGGTTGTATTATATACAATAGGAAAAGATGTAAGTTGAAGTTTAGCGAAGCGAGGAGTGTGGAATAATGTATCATTCGACACGTTCTCCGAGAGAACGTTATTTCGGGAATACGCTTATACGGGAATTCAATGAGGTGTTTTCATGAGAATTAACTCATTTTTGTTCGATCACCAGTAACTCGATATTCTCCTTTACTTAACAAACAATTCTACATTCTCATACCTATATAAGCTATGTTACATTCACGTGCTCCATACCCTTTACTATTGAACCCAGTACTGTCCGATCGATGCGGAAGGAAACAGAGCCATCTAATAGTTATTTTTCTTTCGGGTGTATTACAAGTTTATCAAAACGCTATATCGGGCACGCCGACAAGGGGGAGGAGGGGAACATAGAATAGGGGCGGACACGTTTCGAATATAAGCCTAGATTCCGGTCCAGAGCACTGTGGTATGCATAGAGAGGGGAGATGTTTGGAGAGGGTTGGAGTCTATTATTCACCGTGCTTTTTATGCCCCCTTCCCCCTCCAACCTTCCTCGCCGGGGAACCCTACTTCCACCCTAGCCCATACTATTTCCCCCTCCGTCGGTCGACCCTGTCAAACTGTCGTGCAAATTCAATCCTATACCAGTCGTTCTCATTTCGATTCGGTTTCGGAGCGTGCCGAAAGGACAGCGTCTGTGCATCCGCAGTGCGGATACGTTCCGAGGATAATTGACGATGCGGCGTGACTCGTGCAGCGTTCGAGTTAAATCAATTCCGGCCGGGGCCGAGGGGGGCGGTGG